AACTTCATCTTTGTTCAGAAAGGAGAAAATGAAACATAGGTATTGAAAAAAAATAAAAAAAAAAAGGAAAGGGAAAACACAAGCAGAAAACCCCCGAGAAGCCTAAATTTAGCTTGTTTCAAAGAGGTCTGTGCTGGATGGATGCCCAGTCTGGATACGCTTTTCTTACTCCCTGTATCACTCTGTAGTCACAACCTTTCATTCTTCAGTTGGAAAAGGAAACGAGCTCCAAATTTCATGGACAGTAAAGAAAGAAATGCGAAGAAACCAAAGAAAGAAGTTAAACAAAAAAAGGGGCCAGTCTGTTTATAGCAGAATCAAAAGTACTTTAAATAGACAAGCAACCATGAATTAAAAGGTTTAGATCATTAACTTGTTTTTCTGTGTTCCTGTAATGCTGTGAAACGCTGGCTTTGTTCTTAATCAAAAGGGAGCCATATTGGGAATTAGGTTCCTAAACAACTGCTGCATTCTACACAGATATTATACAAATCCCAGGCCAAATCCATACAATCTGCCTCAAGAGCAGCCACCTTTTTTCAAGGAAGAAAAACAGCACAGCAAAGGGTTTCTCACAGGAAGCTGCCTGAAAAGCTTTAATGGTCCTTCAGATGGATTGAAAATAGGAAAAGGAAGGCGGAAAAATCTTAATGAATGTCTCATCATCCTAAAGACACTCAAGGCTTCCTTCACCCTTCTTTTAATACTATATAACTGTGAGTTTAGGGGGTTTTATTGGGGGTTTTCTGCAAAGTCCCCAGAGCTCTGCATGTCAGGCTGGCACAATAAGAGAAATGCTGAAATTACAGAGTGGATTTTGTGGGAGTCTCTGCTCGCTCAATACATTTTAAGAGAAATGGCGAGGCTTTAATGAAGAACGAGCCCATTGAAGTCCCAGACAGCAGATTTCATTAATAGCAATTTTCCTGCACCAACTTGGAATAAAAAGAAAAGGGGAAAAAAAAAAAACAACAACAACAAAAAAAACCAAACCAAAACCAAAAAAAACCAGCCTGGCTCAGTTTTAAATTAAGACTGAGATGCAATTAATTTTTTTAAGATTAGCTTAATAATACAGTCTTGGTTCTTGCAGAAAGGCCCATGAATAGTTTTGTGCATTATTGTCTAATTAGTTACTGTTCATGCAGCCAAGGCCTCTCTGAGAGTGTTTCCCTCTCCCATCTTCCCCTTGATCCACATTTGCACAGCAAACACCACCAGTATCTGCAGAGGGGGCTCCAAATCTGCCTGTAATCTGTTTTCTTTTACTTGTTTGGAATATAATGATTAACTAGGAACTCCTGACCCAAAGGCTGTGGTAACAGCCCCTGTCCCCTCTCAAGGCACATTTAATGACCCACTCCCAACTTCCATGTGGTTTTCCACATCCAAAACCATCAGCTGATTCAATGGAATATTTGCATGCAGAGGAAGGAGGAATTTACAGACGTCCTTCCAACACAAGGATGAGCTGCTCTACTTCCAAGCAAGTTGAGGAATCCCAAGGCAGTCAGGGATACTCAGAAAACTGCAGGATTAAGTCACTCCCTCAGAGCTTTTTGTTAATTGTAGTTATAACATCCTGCAGTTCTCAGCCTCACACATAAGAAAACACAGAGCAAAGGGAAAAAAGCACTAAGCTATGAAGAGAGAATGAAAAGGTATAAAAGAGATGCTGAATAGGACCAAAATCTAAGATGATTCCTCTTTGAAAAAAAAAAAAAAAAAACCAAACCAAGAAACGTTCAGCATTTGATTTGTAAATATATATTTAGAAGTACAGCTTAATCTGATGTATACAAACCTCAATAAAAAATTAACTAAAGCAGAGCTCATAATGCGCAGCCCAACCACGATAAAAAAATTCAGCTGTGACAAATGAAAAAGCTGTAACTACCAAACATATGTCACAACAACCATTGCCTGCCAGCCTGTATTTTCTGCAGCAACATTCAGTTGCTTAACTGCGAAAAAATGTAATTAAAAGTGATAGAAGTAAAAAATTCCAAGTTGGAACGCTGCAGAAAGGAGAGAGATTATTTCTGACAGTAAAGTTGTTCTTCAGAATCTAAATACAGTAACATTAAGGTGGTGTGGACCATTAAGGTTAAAGAAAACCCCATAATTTTCTGGTGTGTTGCTGTAGCCCTCCAGAAATTGGAAAAATTCCCCTTCCATTCCCCCAGCCTGTCCAAGTAGGAAACTCCTGCAGTAAACAGGAGTTGTGTGTGCACAGGGCTGCTGGATCAGGCCAAAAGAGCACAAAGAATGCAGTCAAGCATCAACATTATTTCTACAGCTCGAGCAGTTGTTGATTCACTGTCAAAGGACGGGCAACAAATAAGCCAAAGTTTAAGTCTGCTCGAAATATCCAATATTTTTCATCCAGAACCCTGAACTCCAGTTACCTCGGGACACGTGCACAGCGCACTCAGCTGTGAGGGGTAACTCGGCTGTGCACTGACAGCTGCACACAGATCACATCCTACTGCCTGCTCAGGGACACTTCCCGCTGAATTCAGAGAAATTCAGGGGAATCAATGGCCACCCTCCCAGTCCCATGGCAAACACGTCCTCTCAAGGGTCACTCTGAAGGTTTCCAGGGGAGCATCCCGAGGGAGGGGGCTCTTTCCCTCGGTACTCACCCGGAGCTGAGCTCAACAGCCCTCAGGACCCCGTGCAAGGCAAGTCCCCTGGGTCAAGTATTTGTCGTTCCAGGGGCTGCCAGGGAAGAGTTGTTCGGATCAGAGTTCAAGAGCTGTGCACGGAATGCATTAAAGCCAGTTTAGGCTCAGCTTTATTTTCCCATGTGCCTGCACTCCCTCTCCAGCCCGGGCCACAGCTCAGGACTTGCATTATTTCCACTCAAGGTATGAATTCCTGCTAAACCCACAACAAAAAATTCCTCTGGTTAATCCTAATTCAGCCTTTCAGATCTCCACTGGAGAGAAATAAAAGAAAAACAGGCTTATGTCTCAATTTAAGCTGCTGGTAAATCTCTTACTAATTTTACTAAGGGACTTCCAAAAAGCCAGGGATGCCGTGGCTCTGGAGTCTGACTGAAGTTTATTTCCAAGTGCAGCTTTACACACTGGATGAACTTCCATACCTACAGAGACATGGAAAACCAGTGGGTTCTGCCTTTGTACCTGTTTGCTGAGAGCCTCCAAACCCACCCCCATCTCATCTCATCCCCCCAAAACCTGAGCCACGCTTTTCCAGACATTTCATTCCACGGATAACCAAAGGCAAAAGGCATTAAGCTGAGGATAAAAGTGAAGAGAGCAAACAACAATGTGCTTTGTTGTCAGAGGGAGGGAGCGGCCGCCGGGCCGGGCTGTATTCCCAGACCAGCCATCACTGACAGACTCACTTCCACCAAGGAAAACAGGGAGGCCTGAAAGGGCCGGACAAAAGAAATCCCAGCAGGCAGAGAAACAACAAATTAAAAGCGCCATTATAAAACACAGATGCTATAAGGAAAATAAACTTCACAAGATTTAGTGGTTTTTGACAGAGCTGGACATCTGTGGAAAAGCCATCAGGAGCAGCTCCCAGGTATGGCTGGACAGGCATCTCCTCCCTCCTCACCACGGCCTCTCTGGGAAGAGTCACCCTCAGCTCTCCACACACCTTCACCACTGCGGTGCTCGTTTATCAACAGCCACAATTCTATTTATGATCATTTTATTTATATGTGTTAAATCCATAAGCTGCTCTTCAAACATTTGATCAAATCGCTCTAAGTTTTCTAACTGTAGTTTCGGATAAGAAAGGAAAGCTACTCCAAGCAGAAAATGTGTGAGACTTGCAGGCCTCTAACACTGTTCAAAAAGCAATCAATCGACTGAAAGCAATTAATACAGTAACTTGTCCTCTTCTGATCAACTCAGAGCCTTGATGAGTTCAGGCCAGATTTCAAATTGGTCAGTGTTTGAACAGAGGACTTGAGGGCACTGCTGTCAGAGCCCATCTCTGAGGAGAGAGGAGCAAAACCACCCTGAGTTTTGCCACTGTAATGACACGATTCCACATCCAAGTGCAGCCCGGAGGAGCACGTTGTGTATCAGCACCGTGTGGGCAGAGTTATGGGATCCTGAAAGAACCAGTTTGATGCAGCCCCACTGTATCTGTATATATGACCTGCCTCCCTGTTTGAGTGCTGCTTTTCTTTGCTGTCAAGAAATTCCACCCTGCCAGCGAGCAAAGCAAAGAGGACTTGGCCCAGACAATTTTTTTTTTTCTGGTAGGAAAGCAATGATCAGAAGGATTTTAGTTTCTCTGTACACTTTACATGAAAAACTAAAGTGGCATCAAGCACCTCTCAGCCTTATAATAAAATGCTTCTGTGTTGATTTTTTCCATTTTTGTTCCATTACTCCAATACAAAAAGCTTAGTAATGCAGTGTCATTAAAATTCAAACCCCACTTGATTAGCTTTTATATCTTACAGTATTTAACAGACTCCATTTCAAAGGGTACCACGTAGTCTACTGACATTAACACTACATATAAACAACTATAATTTGGGAAATAAAAACAGTAACTCCAGGCTATGCAATCATGTGGAGGCCGAGTTACAGGAAAAAGAACCGTGTTTGGCCATTATTTCTGTTTAGTGTAACACTGAGGATTCCTCAGCTAAACATTCCCTAATCATATAATGCAAGGGAAATAAAATCCTTTCTAACAGGCAGGCAGGAAAAAAAAAAAAAAAAAAAAAAACAGGAAAAACAGAAGTGTCATGGACATGGTGGTTTATTTTGCTTTGCCTTTTATTCCACACAAAAAAGTTTCCCGGATGAGAATGGAAAGCTTCCCAGCTCCAGCTCCAAGACTTTCACCCTCGTTCCTGACCTTTTCTCAGACATGTTCCAGTATAATCTGTAATCTACTACAGTCGGAAGAGGAAACAGCAGCGCCCTGGTGAGAAACGCTGCCTTGTGACCCGAGGAGGGAGCCCAGCGGAAGCAATGCTGGCTCACGGAGCCCTCGGGAAGAGCCTGACAGGCAAAACTCAACAGCCTCCGAAGGAACACGCCCGGCACCACGAGCCCTGACTGCTGCCAAAGTGGGCTTTTGCTTTCATGGTTTGTTTTATCCAGTCGAACGTGTGTTATCTTTCCTCGTGAAAACGTTAAGATGCTTTCCTAGAAAAAGTCAGGAAACTCATTATTTTAGTTAACGATCGCCTCTCAATTCAAGTCACATTGCCACTTCCTTCAATTGTGTCCTATCAAATTTAAACTCATTTCACACCCTCAATATTTCCAATACAATTAGGCCCATTAAAGGAGGAATATTATGTCTTGGCTACTGCATGTACATGCACTTCATGTAGCTACTCAGAGCAACTTTTCCTCCCAGCTAAAGTGGTCCAAGTCCAAAACCTGTCACTAATCTGATTCCACTGGAATGGATGGGAGAAAACAACGCAGCCAGTTGTTTGTGTAACATTTCAAACCTCTCGATATCAAACCTTTGGAAACACAGCTGCACTAAATCTCACGACTGTCCTAAGGAAGAACTTTCTCCCTGTTTGCATCCAGGCAAGGCATGTGATGGTGACAGTCAGAGTGCTCTGCCGAGACGTGCAAGCGCCAGCCCAAGTGTCTGAGGCCCTGCTGAGCCAGAGCCCTCTGCCCTCTCACCCCAGCTCCTTGAACTCCAGCTCTTCCGACTGCTCATCAGCCTCCTCCACTCCAGATCTGAACAGGACCTCACAGCAGTGCCTTCCTCCTCCTGAAGTTTTCCTTCTACTATCAGAAACTTTGCCCCCCAGTTATAGAGTGTCCCACTGATGCTCAATGATCTCCTCTTGTCCTGGGCACAGGAACTGCCATGACCTCTTTGCTGCCTGTACCTCTACCTGGCCAAAGATGGATTGTGAAAGAACAGCTCCAACCTCAAGCTCTACCTGGGATTTGAACCTGTCATTTACTCATACAACTACTGATGGTACAGTACAGCTGGTCATTTTTCCTACCTCCTTGTGTATTTCTTCCTTCCCTGTATGGAAAAGAAATTACACTGACAGTCCAGAGAAATCAAAAAGGAGAGGAAACCACTCTGCCAGAACAGCAACCATGTTCTGGGCCCCATGGCACCTCTCACAGCAGCTGTGAAGACATCCACAGTGTCAACTGCCTTGTGCAAAAAATAACTCCTTGAAAATCTGACACAAATACCTGCTTCTTCTTCCCTTGCTGCTTCCCATCCTCACTGTGTACAGACACCACTTTGCTGTGCTAAAAAGACAACAAAGGTGTCTTGAAGCATCTCCTTAGAAAACAAACCCTCTACCACACATACAAATCTGGCACAAAGATAATTTTTCTGGACTTATTTAACTAAAAATACTGTTGGTGCAAATCTCCAGCCCATTTATGGGCAGAACTCGAAATAAACCCCAGGAAACTGGTTTGCCAGCTGTTGGCTCCGCAGGCAGCGGCGGCAGCGCTTCAGCCGGGCTCTTCCATGTGGTGGTTCCCAGCCCAGAGAGCCAAACTGGCCCTCCTGCTCTTGGGTCATGTCCAGGAAGCACCAGGCACAGGCAGGGCCGGGTCCACACCTTGCCATCCTCTTTGAGCCAGACCTTGCACCTCCAACTCTCCACAGATGGAAAGACTCCAAGACCAGCGTCTTGTAACTACTACGGGTGTAGCTCCGGAGCGTTTCCAAGCAAACAGGCAGGAGCAGTGCCATCCTCCCCTCCCCGGCGCTCTGGGCCACAGGCTGGGGCTGCAGCTCCCACAGCACTGAACTGGAGTTTGCAAACCCTTCTGTGGACAGGACTCTGTGAGCTCAGACTAACACTGCACTAATGAGGTTATCGCACAGGCAGCCTCCGGGCACTGCGCAGAGACTCTGCTACTCCGATTCCTTGCACATGGGAATTTTGCTAACACTGTCTGCTGGTGAATGATGAAGCGCTTGAGAAAACAAGTATGTACTACTGCTGCTGCCCCTTGTCACGTCTATCCATCATAATTCATATCAGCACAGCTCTGAAGTCAAAGCCTCCTTTCAGGGATGACTCCGAGACACTGCAGCGTTGGGAACTCGGGGAAATTCGGGCGTCTCACACTCCTCTTCCAAATGATACAGAATAAAATGATCTTTATGAACCTCATTTTTTTTGTATCGGGACAGAAAAACTGATCAGCGCGTCTTAGAAACTGCAGAATTTCTAAGACATCTGGGAATTTCTGAAGGACATCTCTGTGTGCAGCTGTGTCAGGTGAGAAGACAGGGAAAGTTTAAAGGTAGCTCCTTACTCAAAGGCTGAGCTTATTAGAATTGAATTTTGTATTGATGATAAACTCCATATTAACACATCTGTGATTTTTTTATCCCCACCTTTTTATCTCTGCCTCATTTTCCCTCTAGCTGCAACCATTAGCACAGATATTTTAGCATCTGATTTCAATCCGGGTCGAATACACAGGATTTATCCCAAGTTATGTGGAAGGAAAAAAAAAAGTGCCTTGAGAACCACTGCATTTGAGAACTTGATAATAATATCCATGGGTAATTATAATAAATGGCTTGTCTGAAACACCCACAGAATAGGAACTGAAGCAAACCATGGCAATCTCTCCCTCTTGCACCCTCCACACACCCTCGGCAGCTCTGCTCTTTTACCCATGACCGTTGAGGATGTTTTCTGGCTCCGTGACAGCATCGTGACTCAGGTCATGAGAAGTGTCAAAGATGCATTTCCTTGAGATGGGAAAAAGCAACTGATTTTAACAGCCTGCAAAGACTAAGCAAAAAAGAATAAGCCCAATCAGCATATTTAAGGGTAAAGATAAACCTTTTAAAAGATACGAGTGTATTTTATTTCCAATCTTAATGCTTACGTTTCTTTCCACAAAGTGTTTGCGTTTTTCGGACTACCAAAAATGCACATTTGATTAAATGCCTTACTTAGGAATAATAACTGTGCTGGAAAAAGAAAGGACAATAAGGGCAGCACCCATTTACTGCACAATCCATCACCAATCATATGGATAGGGAGTCTGATTCAGGCTGCAGGCACGAGGGAGCAGCCCCACATTCCCAGAACACCCACTGCCAGGGGAAGCAAAAGGTGTTTGGGCTTGAACCCAGCAGGTCCATCAGATAAAATGATTGTTCCCACCAGCTCTTGTCCCATTCCTTCCCCTCGCTGGTTACTAACACGGAGCTTCACATGCTTTCACCTTCCCTCATGCCAAACCTTCCTCGTCATACAACACCCTCCATACTTAAACCTCCTCCTTCAGCTGATACGGTCTCTTGAAAAACTCCGGATTCTACTTTCTCACCTTGTGATCAAACATCCTACAGGCCTGTATCAGGTGAGCAAAGCCACTTTTTGTCATTTCACTAATGGCAGCTCCCTCGAGCCACTTACATTCCTTGACCCACCAACAAATGCCTGGACCCTGCTGCCTCCCCTGCACTAGACCTCTCTTCTCCTGCCCTAATTCCTGCCTTTCCCCTTTTGTGCTTTGGACACAACCACCATGTAAGAACCATTCCTGCACTGCTCCTTCAGTGACTGGCTCTTTTCAGCTGCCTTGTTATTTCAAAGCTCAGTCTTAGTGATGGGTTTTATGCTGATTGCACTGATTTCTCCCTAAAACACCGTTCAGCTGTACACAAGTGTATCTAGCCCTCTGCACAGACATATAAGGTACACTGAGAAGACAAAGCTGAGCGTGTTCCTTCTCAGGGATCATTAATATTGTTTATCAATTTCCGATTGGCAACTGAAAACCCGACCAAAGCGATGCATCAGCTGCAGGATGTTGTTACTACTCCCAGTGTAGAGAAGGAAATGCACCAGCCTGTCCTTTATATCCCTGGTTAACTGGGAGATTTGCGGATGACAAAGCATGGGTTTACTGTAAATTAAGAGGAAGGAATTGAGGGAACAATTGAAATAACCATAAAATCCCAAAATGTCATTTTAGTAAGTCATTTTCAGACGAACACTTAAAATTCCAGTCACCGCTCCTTGCACTCCCTCGGTACCTGCCTCTCACACATCAGCACTTGACCCTATCAAAATTTTCTTCAATGTGATGTTACCAAGACTGAAATCATCCATCTTGACAGGAAAACTTCAGTGGGACGCTCACATGTGGTAATCCAACTCCCGCCTGCCTTCCCCCTTCCTTTCCCCCCGCGATCCATCTTTGCCATCGCGGTCTCCTGTGCGCTGCCGATCGCTTCCCCTCCGCCTGCCTACCCACAACCTTTGCTCTGACCACTGCTACGGCATTTGCTGGGCTAAATCACTCACTCAGAGAGTTTTACACTCCAGATCTCAAGAGCTGCAATTCCCTTCTGATGTCTGTCTCCTTCAATCTCCGATTTATCCGGAATATTCACAGCTTCTCTTTCAACTATTAAGGCAAACATGTATTCGCCCCCAATTTATGCTGTTTACAAAAACCTGCTTTAAAACACCTTATGTACAGACACGAACTTCCCTGGTGACAGAATTTATCAGTCTACTTCCCCATTAATCTGAAGGGAATGGATCTTTTCCTTCCACTTCAGAAACTATCCAAAATATACCACCCACTTCTTCCACTCCACTGACTCTTTATCCATTACCAAAAAAAAAAAAAAGAGGGGGAAAAAAAAAAGGCACCTAAAAACACAGCTCATTTACAACCAGTAAGCTGCTGGCCAGTTCCCAAACTGGTGCTTCCAGCTGTTCCCACCTCTTTTCCCGGCCCTACACGTGGGGCTGCTCTGGGCACTTCCATCGCCAGCCCTGGGACTGCTCCAGAAGGAAGGAATCATCACAGAATCATAGAACCGGTCTCTAAAAGCCGTTAGCAGGAAATTCCCACCAGGCAAACTAACTCTGTTTCTCCCCACCTGGGTTAAAACTGCGAAGAGAAACTCCAGGTGAGGGCGTGAAACTAAGAGGACCGCCGGGCGCTTCAGGCCAGCGAAGGCGGAGGGTTTATATTTGCAACCGAATAAATATTTATAACGCTTATACGAGTAGCTCAGTGCTTGTACGAGTGGAGGGGGGGGGAAATAAGGAGGTTTCATCCTCCTCGCCACCATCTGCCCGCCGAGCAGGGCCCCCCTCAGGGCCGGCCCCGCCTGAGGCGCCATGCCCGGGAGGACGGCGCCCCCTGCAGGCCGCGCCGGGCACCGGCGGGAGCGCTGAGGGGACCGAGGGACCGCGGGGAGCCTCCAGCTGCAAATCGATAAAAAAATAACCGGTTTCCCATCGGAAATCGATAAGTAACGATATTAATGATCCGCCAGAGGGAACGCGCTCGACTTCGTGTCTTCTCGGAGCGCTTCGTGTGTGCGTGCAGAGGGTTAGGTACACTCGTGCAGCTGAACGGTGTTCTAAGGAGAAATTAGTGCAATCAGCTTAAAAGCAGTCACTAAAACCGAGCTTTGAAATAGGAAGAGAGACGCGTTCAGGCTTTGAACCGAAGCTGCAAAAAGAACTACGTGAAATTACATCTATATAAAAAAGAGCCGAGTGCGATGCTGTGGAGAAGCACAACAATTCTACGCAAATACAAACGTTAAAATTACATTAAAACTACGGGCCGATGCTGCAGCTTGATTTGCTGCTTTTACACATTTCTAAAATCCGCTTTTATCGAGAGACGCTGCAGATCGCAAAGGGAAAAATTAAACTCCACAGAGAGTTTTCAAAGAACAGTTTCCAGCTCGTGTTAGCAGCGTTTGGAGTTTAACTCTGCGAAGGAACTGCCCTCCGGTGCTTTAAGTTATTATACAGTTAATTTTCTTCGAAACTATTTTTGTCTGCCTCTCTCTAAATAGGTGGTTTCTTAAGTGAGTGTTACTTAAAGGAAACCAATCTGTTTTTCAGGAAGGGCTGATGATGTCAGTCCTTTCAACTCTGCTTTCCCATAAGAATTCTTCTAGTAAAAGGAGTTTCACTCTGGGAAATAGTGAAAAGTAACGTGAAAATATTTGAAGCATCTCAGGGCTGCATGTTTATCGAACTTCCAGTTTTATGCCTGGATTTTAATCATGTTGTGATTGTAACAAATGAAGGAAAAGCGAGACGAAACATTTTGATTTTTAAAATTAGAAGAGATTTTGCAATGAAAAACGTGCCATACTAAAATATTTATGAAGAGATAAATACAACCCTTGAATGCACAACATGTTTTTTTCACAATTCTAAATTTATCTACTCCATCTCAGCATCGGTATTAAATCTGGAAAAAACCCCATGGTGTACTATGAACGGTTTTTTGGCAAAATTACGCCATCCAAATAAATACTTCAATCCCCAGCAAAATGCAGGACAAATTCAGAGAGTATCATATTATTATGGAATGGTTTTAGCAGGTGTGGATATATAACTGTATAATAATAATTATTATTATCATTATTATTATTTGTTCTGATACTGGAAATCCCTGCAGCCAGCAACAGAGAAACTCCGAGCAGAGCTACAGAGACTTTATTTCACTTACTGGTGGTGCAAGAAGTAATGACAATAACACTCTGTAAATTTTAATCTGCAGAATAAAAATACTTAGAGAGAGATATATTTTTCAATCTTCCAAGTAAAACATTACTTTTTAACACCTAAATGCTCTATTCCCATATAGGTGTCCTGAGGAGACCAGGGACACTTTTGCATCACCAAGGACATAGTTTTGTTTTTACCACTCATCCCTTAATCCCCACATCATACCTGTGAGATAGGTAAGAACCATAAACCCCATTTTATACAAGTAAAAAGGTTGTGTAAGGCCAAATTCTACCCCAATATTCACCCCCACAACCAAGTGATGTCGTAACAGTCTTATAATAGTAAAAGCCCATAAAAGGATCCCAACCCAACTCAGATATTCCTGACAACTCTGGCAATCCAAAGGAATGACAGAAATACAACGTCGCTGGATTAAGAGACAGAGCAGCCCAAACAAAATCTCTGTCGGCTGTAAAAGGTGCAAAGGAAATATCTCTTTATCATCCTCCCTTTAACAGTTTACTTCACTCTGCTAAAAAGAACAAAGCCCAGCTATGATTCATTTGGAAATGAAATCATCCCCAGCCCCAGTCAAGGCTGACGTTGTGTGGGTAAACAGTTCCTGGGGCGCTCCGACAAAACGTAAATAGATTGCCTCGCTGCTGTACACACAGCAAACAGCTTCAGTTTGAAACTGGGAGGTGAAAAATATGACAGAGCACGAGCTCTGAAAATATTTACAAGAACAAAAGCTAATCACAAGTTGCCATCAATAAGTTACGATTGCTAATCAGAAAAAGAAGATAAGGAGCCAGTGCTTTGTGCGTGGCAGTCCGTTCTTTTGGCACCAGGTTGTAGCAATGAGATTTTAATGCAGAAGAAATATTAGTAGGAGGATTAACAGCAGGGTTTTTTTTTTTAAATTGGGGTTTATTTAAAGTTTTCTGGATTGCAAAGGACACCAAAACAAAAAAATCTTCCAGTTTGCCACAATCTCCTCTGAATCAGTCACCTAATCAACAATTTGTCCCAGTGCAACGGTGCTCTCCAGGACATGGTCTTTGGTTTTATTTCCATTATAATCAGCTGCATTTAGAGGGATGATTAAGGAAAGCAACGGTTATTCTTCTTGAAGAAAATTACAAAATTAAAGTAATTCCACACATGGGGAACACACAGATTATTACTGCTGTCACACATCACAAAACTGATAGACAGAATCAGCTCAATAAAATTTACTAAGGGTTGCAGAGCGAGTTAAAAGTAAAATCCAGGACTGCTCTTCCCTCTCTGGAGTACTGGCTTACACTCCTGTCACCAGACTGTCCTAACTCCTCCAAACAACAATCATTTAACATTAGAATATGGGAAGGAGCTGTTACAATCTGAGTAAACACATCTTAGCTCACAAATTAAAATAATCATCGGTCTCTGGCTAATGCAGCTGCCACACACACAGACAGACACACACATACAATCCCTCTGCTGAAAGTCGCTGTGAACTTCAGGGTTGTTTTTTTTTTTTAACAAGTTGATGATAAATGGCTTTTTATAAAAAGCCTATAATGGGGTTCAATATCCTGCCTGCCTGCAGCCAGGTAAACTGAAAGATTACTGAAATGAAAAACCAGCAATAAAATTACTGAAAATATTACAGTGTTTTCTCAAATGGACTTCTTTAAAATGGAACCATTTTATCTTTCTTTTTTCCCTCTAAGATTTTTTTAAGACAACTCTGCTAACTCCTCTACACGATCCCCACAAATTTCTCATGGAAAACTTTCACAAGCAGGTCTGTGAGTTACCAGCACACGGTCTTAGCTCGTGTCCAACTCCAAGCCCTTCATCATCGAAGTGATGAGCACAATCTGTGTGAAATCCTCCAGGAGCCACAGTTACCTTCCTGCCTTAACTGCCCGTGCCCTCCAACAGAGCTGACTGTTTAAAGAGAGCTCATTCTCAAGCCATGATGACTGCGCAGAGATCTTGAAAGAAATCTGATTTATTATCTTTCGGGACAGACATTTGCCAACCAAAGTCTCAGAACTCTTGAGACACTCCCCTGAAAGTTGCTCCCTTTCTCTCAGGGACTCGGCCACGCACAACCTGCCCACCACTGAGCATCCTGGGGGAGGTGGAACTGCTGAGCCTTCCCTCAGAAAGAAGTGTCAAATCTATTCAAAACTTCAAATGCCCCTCAGAGCTCTGCAAAGGCAACAACTTACTGCAGCTCCCCTTGACAGAAAACAGAATTGGCTGGATGAAAGCTACACAAATTGATAGTTCCTTCCTCTCCTCTGTGTGATGTCAACAGTTAAAAGGGATTTGCCATAGCAAAGCTTTAGCGGTCCCCAGCCTGTCTCAGGCCTGACAGGCTGAGCCGCTCTGCAGCAAGGACAGAAAGTAAACTGGTAGATGATACACAACTGTCTGCAAGGAGGAGGAAACTTCAGAGCACGTTTTGGGTGCCTTCCAGTGGCTCCAGGCAGAAGAGCAGGGCTCCAGAACAGCTATGCACAAACCTTTGTTCAGAAAAGTCCAAAGAAAGGAGAAAATACAGAGGCTTCTTCTGAGACAAGCCTGGTTCCCTTAATAATCACCAAGACATAAAACAGTCCCTTTGATTCCGAATCCCCACAAAGGTTCTCTCTATAGCAGAGAGCCCAGCACAGAGTTGGGCTTTCACAAGCACCAGCCCTACTCATAATTAGGGAAGAGGGACTGTCCTTGGCCATTTTGAACACTCTCAGACTGGAAAAGGGTGGGCACCCCAAACAAACTGCTATTGAAACTTCACTTCCATGGAAGTTGTGACTTACTCTTAATGGAAAGGAGGCACAAGGATGCAGCAAATCCCGAATCCAAACAAAGCAGCTTCTAGCACAGACCTCATGAAAGAGAAAGGCAGAAAGAATGGCAAAGACAAAACTGAAGAAGCTGTGGCAATGATGATTTTTGAACATTTCTGAGGCTCCCCCTCACATCCTTCGGGTGTCTCCACCACAGGACCAGGATGGACAGATCAATTCTTACAGACTGTTTTCCCTTTGCACATTATTTGTCACATTGCTCACAGACACACACACCAAAAAAAAAGTGGACAAAAATCTGTGCCATCAACTTCCCACTGTCTGGTTTCCACATTTCTCCTCGAGCAGCATTTATTGCAGATATCCAGATGTGCTTCCTGACCACTGGGGCTGATGAGCAGTGAGAATTTTAGGTAATGGCACTTGAATACAGACCAGATTACTGACCTAGATGGAAACTAGAGACCTAAAAACCCCCAAACGTTCAGTTTAGAGTGGAAATCATTAACACATCTGTGATAGCATCGTTTACTTGAGCTGCAAAACTAGAACTGTCCTTCTGAGGTACGTCCACCTTGGCTCATTCCTGTAATACCTGCTTACATCACATATTTTTGCACAAAACCCGCAGCACCTTACTTTAGGAATTCTTGACGACATAAGGGGGAGGGAAGAAAGGAAAGCAGTGGATTTACCGTGGAGGGGTGAGCCAGAGGGGCTGCTGGACAGGCCTGGCACGGGGCTGCAGCGTCCCCCTTGCTTGGACGTGAGCTCCTGCTCGATCTCCTCCAGCCCCGCGCTCTTCT